AGCCGGAAAAGTTAAAACAAATAATTAAAACCAAAGTTCTGCCAGAAAAGTTTTAGACTCCGAAGAATATTTTTAACAGTTTCTTTTTATTTACTAGTTGAGATCGAAGGTTTAATTGCTCCAAAAACCTCGATTTGGGTGAGACATTTTACTGAACTGTGACCGTAAAACTGTTTAAAATTTCACCCTGAAATTTATATTTTATTTCATTTGAGAGAGTACCATTAAATTTGTTTTTCCAGTTCCCTATTTTTTTTTCTTATCAGATAAGTGGATGTATACATATATAATATAACACAACATAATAAAGACTAGAAAGATTTTTTATTTGTTTTTTTTATTGCAAAAGCACTTGACTTTACATCATTGGCCCCCATGCATCGAAGATGCATGAGATTGGAGCATATAAAACATATAAGGCTAGAAAGATAAAAGAAGAGAAAGAAAAAAAAATGAAGAGAATTAGGAAAAATAATAATAAATTTTATTTACTGTGCATTAGCTGCAAGTTATATAGAACTCATAAAATAAATTAAAAATATAGAAAAAATGTGAAAAAATACAAACAGATTCATTTAAAGTGAAGAAAAACAACAAATAATAATAAAATCTTCAAAAACATCCATTAAAAAAAGGTGAAAACAAAATAATAAAAAGATATAATCTCATCATCAGCTCACGCGATTACATCCGCAAAAAGGGTGCTTACTAATATGTAGCCAAAGCTCCTTTTATTGGATAAAATCGTGTTACTAATAATCGTATAATAAAATTTTACAATTTTTCATTGTTATTCTTCTCTTAATGAATCTTTTTGCATTTTTCCATGTCACATATCTCTTGAATTTTAACTTGAATTATCCCATGTAATATTCGTGATATAGGAAAGACTTAAATAATAGATGCTTTGGTTTTGTGTATGATGATGAATCAATCGGGTCAAATGTGGAATAGAAATGGGTGGTTGTTGACTTCCCTCGGTGAATGTTGACAATCACATAGTCGCTTTGGTAAATGTCCGAAATGTATACAAGATCTAGTTGAGTGCCACTGCCCGGTATGCCCTACATCAATGTTTTATTAAGATCAAGTGCCACTGCCCGATATGCATTTATCCGGGACTCCGAACACTGATGTTTCTCCTAATCTATCCTCGTCACATATTAAAATATCGAATAAATATAATAATATCAACGAATAAATTAATATCAAATCGGATATAACAAAAATTGGGGGATTCACCAAAGCGATTATGTGATTTTTGACAGACATTTATCGGTGAAAGTCGACATTCTCTTGATTTCGAACTACAGTGCACTCTCGATTATCCGTGTGCGGATTATCCGTTTTGCTAATTATCCACGCTCATTCCGGAGTCACAAAAAAAAGTTGAAGAGAAACATTTTTAAGATTATCGTGCATTGATTACCGGTGCATTTCTCCCTCCAAATGTTACAGCAGCGATACAGCCTATGGATCAGGGTGTAACTTCAGCAATGAATTGGCTTCACAGATCTGAAAGTCGACATTCTCTTGATTTCGAACTACAGTGCACTCTCGATTATCCGTGTGCGGATTATCCGTTTTGCTAATTATCCACGCTCATTCCGGAGTCGCAAAAAAAATTTGAAGAGAAACATTTTTAAGATTATCGTGCATTGATTACCGGTGCATTTCTCCCTCCAAATGACACAGCAGCGATACAGCCTATGGATCAGGGTGTAACTTCAACAATGATCTGGCTTCTCAGATCTGAAGTTATAACACTACCAAATTTTTGGTATCAATATTCTTTTGGATGCAGTATATGGAATACCTGCAGCATGGTCAAAGGTCAAATCGTCTACGTTATCACGATCGTGGAGAAAGATTATACCAATCTTCTTCAGGTATTAAAGAAGAATATGATGACAGTATTCTTGAACATGCAAAAGAAATCGAAGGTTTCGAAATTCTTGATAAAGAAAATTTAGAAGATTGGTTTCAAAGTGATGCATGTGGGCCTCGCTTCCAGTATTTGACACATTAAGACATCGTTACTTGTTAAATCAAATAGTGATGATAGCACTAATGCAGAAAATGTATTAAATGCGGGAATTACAATTTCTTCTTCAACTGCTCTTCAATCTGTGTAAACTTTATTAGATTATATGGGATAACGAGGATATGATTACTGCGGTTCTTAAAATATGTGTGAGTATACGGCAAGAGATTAACAAATATCAGAAGCAAAGACGCATTTTTTTAAGCATATTTTATCTTCAAAAAGGCTCTAAGAATATCTAACGCAGTGCTTTATTTTCCCAAATCTAGATCTATTTAGGAATAAAGAAATAAATTCGATTAAATAAGGTCCCTTTATATCCATATCTCGTGAGAGAAGTTTAATAACACGGGACACGTTAAATTACTGAAACTTTCTGGAGACACTCCCTATGTTCCATAATTGGTTCTGACAATTATCGAAACAATTTCGAAAACTTTTCATATCATTAGAACGTTTAAAAGGTTTGATTTGCATTAAATTGTTCAAAACATGTTAACGGGAAAAACGATCTTTCAATAAATCAACGGCTTTCTTGTAATTTTCAGAAGAAATTGCAAAACCTTCGATGGTTTATAAAGCACTTCCGCTCAAATGAAGGTTTAAATAAACACATTTATCAACTTGTTCCGAATGTTCGTTTTCAAAAAAGAGTTTCAAAAGGTAAACCAGTGACTTTAATCTCCATAGAACTTTAGAATAGTAAAGTTTAAGTAATTTAACCTTTACAGAATCATTTGATTTAATTTTTCTACTGCAGTTTCGTATCGGGATATTTTTCAATTGCTTCGTATTCTTTTTATTTTCTACCTCATTAGGGTTAATTAAAAGTTCCATTTGGTTATCTGTCATTTTTAATGCTTTCTATTTATCCGTTAATGTTCTTCTTGTTCTTCAACAATCGCCTAATTTCGTTTTAATGTGTTTTCTATTTTCGTTAACAGTTAAGTGTTTTTAGATCTTAAAATAGTTCAGCGTTTTTTAAGAACACCCCATTTTTCAGTAATGTCTTTCATTATTTTTTCAACCGTTGTGACAAATACTTAACTCATTTCAGAACTGAAAATCCTTAGTTTCAAACATATTCAATTCAGTTTTAGGACTGTTTTTTACAATTTTTGATAAATACGAAAATAAATAATTAGTACCAATGAGATTTAAAAGAAAATGTTAAATTGCATTAAGTGAGAAGTTAAGAATACAAAATAAAATTCAGCACATAGCATAAGAAAGGAACTGTCCATGTGAGTAGATACTTTAAAAAGTACAAAAAAAAATTCAAAGACAAAAGTTATAAATAAAAATGAATTGTAAGCGCATTATTACTCATATGTCAAAGTACGAAAAAGCTCTATAAATATTTTTTATCAGCTTTGTTATAAGTTAGTTTGTTTATATTTTATTTTATAACTATCGTTGAACAGCCGACCCAATTTTTTGGGCTTGTGACTACTAATGTTCAACTGCGTAGCTTTGTAATTTTGAACCCAATCCAGAAGACAAGGGAACTCCTTGATCAAGTATTGGGAGAAATNGTCGGTGCAAACCGGATGCGGAATTTGTATCGACCCGCAATCGCTGGGATTCGAACCCGGGTCACCTCATTGGAAGGCAAACGCTCTATCCCCTGAGCAGTCACGGCTTCAGTTTGTTTATAAATAAATTTTGTAAAACTGCAAAATTAGAATAACAATATATCAAATAGAAAATTACTAAGAAAGAAACGACACTATTTTTGAAGTGCCTAACAAGTGTGCTTTTAATTTCCAATTATATTTTTATCAATTTAAAAATTCTCACTTTTTAACCACTTTTTACCACTGATTATTTTACCACACATTATGCACCAAAGATGCTAAAGGGACATTTTGGTGACGTTAACTACAGAAAATTTATAGCAACGGTGTAAATGATCATTTGTCATAGTTAGTTTTCACTATTCCTGTTTTTCTATTAACTCATTTTCTTCAGTGACTGTTTGTAACGATAGCCTTGTCATCGAAATGTTGACCTCTTTTCGACTAGCTAGAGCATTTACATCTCCATTGGAGCTCCGGTCCTAAAGCAGGGGTCTGTCCAGACATTTTGTGAAAGTTCCGTTTTTCGTGAAATTGTGAAAAAAATGGCTCACATTCTTTCAAGCAGGGTCCGCTTTTATGAATTTGTGCAAATAGGGTCCGTTATTGCAAAAAAAAAAAACTTTTTCAAGGAGTTTTTAAATTGTAAAGACATACAAGATTATGCGCAACACTGCAAATTATAATTAAAGAAATTAAATTTTAAAAAATAAACAACAATTGCTGCTTCTAAATTAGAGATGCAACATACAAATATTTGATATTTAGCCTCTACTGCTGAACGCATAATATTCATTTCGGACGAATAATGGAAGAATCGTCGGTCGAAGACAAAACTAATTCGTTTACATCCATCTTTCCTGTTTTCTGCCCAGTAAAGGGTTTATTCGATTAACGAAACAATAATGAAGTTAAACAAATTTGTGAAGGGTCCGATTAAAAGAAAAATCAATTTGTGAAGGATCCGTTTTTAAGTTAAAATATTTTGTAAAGAGTCCGTTTTTATGAAAAGATATTTTGTGAAGGGCCTGTTAACGGATCCAAATTTCTTCTAAACAGATCCCTGTGATGACAATAAGATTTGCTATTGTTTTAAAAAGGTGCAAACATTGTTTGACGAAGTTAAACGAAGTTTTAATGACTTTCTGACAGAAACAACAATGCAAAAAACTTAAAAAAGAAGTGAATTAAAATAGGGGGGGGAATTCAAAACAACTGCGTTTTTCGTATGATGCGAAAAGAGTTTTCGTTTCCTGCGAATAGAATTATTGTTTTCTTGTTTGCTTAGTTAAAGAAATGTATTTTTACCTTGTTGCATAATTTTAGCAAATTACTACCACTAAATAACCAAAATTGATGTTTTTTGTAATTACTTCTAGGAAATACGTCCTAAACAAGGGCAGAAATAAAAGTGAATTCGAGTTCAGAAAAAATACAAGAGAAAAAGATCAAAAGTGAGAATGAATCCCAGTATACTTCATTTTTTTAAAAAACAGTTAAAATAACAAATGTTTATTTTGTATCTGCAGTCCGTGGCCAAATTTTTAGACCCACCATAAGATTCTATGTAAAATCATAATTATCAGGCTATACTATACAGCTTTGTTGTTTTTACGCGACTGAAACCGGTTTGTACTTGTTTACGTTCGTGTATCAATGGGTTAAATTAGGGTTAAATTAGGGTTAAATTAGTTATATAAATATAGAATATTTATTATATCAGGTATTATATTAGTATATTATAATCATTAGATCTCATTATTAGACGAACTCTAGTGTTTTTAATAATGACATGTTTTGTACGAGTTTATAAGCAATACTCTTACATTTAAACACACATGTAATGGGTTTTTATTCAGAGTATTTTTTACATACTTCCTATTTGTATTTATTTTTAACGTATTGCATTACAATGTTAACCAATTAATACACGAACGTAAACAAGTGCAACTGGTTTCAGTTGCGTAAAAATAATAAAACTGTATAGTATCACGTGATAATTAAGATTTTAGATAGAATCTTATGGTGCGTCTACTTATTTGGCCATGGACTGTAATTTTAAGACACATTAAAAACACACACTCACTTTTGTCCTTTATAGCATTCTTTTATACGTTCTAAGATACGATAATGAGTCTGTCATCTCAACGAATTCGTACCACTCACTGTAAGCTGATGGTTAGACCCAGTAGATCACTGGCTGGTCAGATAGCGGGTTTGTGGCCACTTAGATCAGCCTGCGTAGGGGCCGTGGTTGCAGGGTTTCGTTTAATTATTGTACTTTAAATTGCTTAATTTTTTGCACAGGTCGTCGGTCTAACATAGGTGGGGAGCCCTCCCCTCTATGAGAATCAAGTTTGTCCTCCGATTATATTCCGAAATGCCTTCCATTCCGTCGCCAACTGTATTGTATAGCACAAGTGTGACGTAAGAAATACTACTACTTCTCAACGAATTCCTGAGTGTTTGACAGCTGTAATAAAAAATTTATTCATTTTAAGTTCTTATTTTATTATTTTCTAATTTGTTTATTTTGGTGCAGAACCAAATCGTGCTATATCATACAAACATTTTTTTCTAAATTTTAAATGAGTGAACTGTTGTAAAGTATGCAAAGTGTATACAAAATTTCTAATGCTAAACAATACATCGATGCTAAACTATACATCGATGCTAAGCAGTACATCGATGATAAACTGTACATCAATGCTAAACTGTGCATCAATGCTAAACTGTACATCGATGCCTAAACTGTACATTGATGCCTAAACTATACATTGATGCCTGAACTGTACATCGATGCCTAAACTGTACATCAGTGCCTAAACTGTACATCAGTGCCTAAACAGTACATCAATGCCTAAATAGTACATCAAAGCTAAACTGTACATCGACGCTAAACTGTTCATCGAAGCTAAACTGTTCATCAATGCCTAAATTGTACATCGATGCCCAACCTGTACATCGATGCTAAACTGTACATCGATACTAAACTGTACAATTTCATGAATCAAATTCACAAGTTTTAAATAAATCGGTAGAATACTGCCTGAAAAAATACACAAAATTCATTACATTTTTTTTTCGCAAAAAGTCCTATTTTTAGAAATATTTTTCCATAAACAACTTAGTTCGAATTTTTTTTTTTTTTTTTATATTTGAATAAACAATATTCACACACTTACATTATAGTCTGATTAAGTGAAGAGATAATAAAAATAATTATTCTTTATTGCTGTTTCTATCTATCCCAAGTTAGAACGGAAAATTTCTACATCGTTTTTCCTAAAACTACCGAATTGGTTTTTTTTTCATCGAATGCTTGATACACCGAATCCAGTAGTTAGGGGTTACAATTCGGAAAAAAAATTATCACCAATTTTTTTTTTTTACTTTAACTTTTTGTATTGTTTTGATTTTATTTTGTTTGTTTTGATTTTAGAGCCTTAGGGGATAGAGCTTTCGCCTTCCAATGAGGTGACCCGGTTTGAAGTTTTCAGAACTTCAAACTGATGGAATAGAACGCACGTTTTTACCAAAAAATAGCAACCTAAAGAAAAGATTTTATCCCAATAAAATTGACAACTTAATGTGTGACATTCAAAAAAGTATACAAAAACTAGACGTTAAGAACGTATCCAATGAGCGAGCATTGGATTGCGAAGCAATCCGAAAAGAACTGTGAAAGCAGTTCTGGGGGTTGGTGAGCGCCAGCGAGCAGGGGGCGAAGCCTCCTAGTAATAAATAATAGTATAAAAGAGTTTTTAAACCAGAAAAATAGTTCTTATTTAACAGTCTACCTGAAATACTTATTTATTATACCTTCTCAGTATTATTCTACGTTATTATTTCGTACCAATTGAATGAGATACCTCTTTAAAGTATTTTTATTAAACAAGCTTTAAGTAAAGTGTATGCAATTATTCGAAATTGTAAAATATTTTTCGCTCTAAATAATCTAACGCACGTTTTTACCAAAAAATAGCTACCTAAAAGAAAAGATTTTATCCCAATAAAATTGACAACTTAATGTGTGACATTCAATCTATGTTCATACAATTTTAGGATATTTTGGAACAATTTTTTTTTTTAATTTTCATGAAAAATCCGTATATTGGATAAAAAAAAATCAAGGTTCTTGAGCGAAACGAGCAGGAGCCAAAATGTTCTTAGCCATACATGAAAAGTCCTGCAGTGAACTGATTGTTAAGACACGGTCCTCACTAGATCCCCAAAGTCAATCATCACTGGTTGCGGTCAGTGTGTGGGTGGTTGACCACTTAGATTAGTCAGTTTAGGGACCGAGGGTGGGAGGTATGGGTCCTCGTTAAACTGTTCTACCGTAAAGTGCTTGATTTCGCTTGCAGGTCGACCGGGCTACCGAAGCAGCGGTGCCATCCCCTCTGCAGAGGATCAAAATTGTGATGACATGTCTTCGGATCATCCTCTGGGAAGTTTTCCAGACTGTCGGCAATAGCCCATTGTGCAGCTTTAGTGTGACGTAAACGAACTACAACGACAACAACCATGCTTGAAAAAAGCAATAGCACGCAAGAAGTATTGAGAGAAATGCAAAGATTTCGGTACAGAAAAATAGTCCTAGTAGCCAAATTATCTATTACTATTTCATAAAATTGAACTGACATGCAGACTTGTAGTATTTTTTCTTTTTCTTTTGCTTCACAAAATAAGTAAAGCAAAAGAAAAATTGATTGAACTCTATACTTCGTGTTAGGTCGGTGGCACCTTTTTAGATAACTTTCTAAAAAGTTTTTTTTTTATTTAACAGTTGGAGAGCAGCAGGTGAAAAAAAAGCCACATCAAGCGTATTTCTTTCTCTTTGAAGCCTTTTATCATCTTTCATCTTTTTTTTTCTTTCTTCATCTCATGAAGAGTTTGAATTCCCCTCTTTCACAAAAATAGAATTTTCCTCGCTAATTCGTTTAAGACTTCGAAGAAGTTATTTCATCCGGCCGAACTTTGAAATGAAAATTTCAAAGTCTTGCCATCAATTTTTAGAATCTTTTGTATCATTTATTTTATTTTATTTCTAAACATTTATTTTTTCATTCATTTACTTTGTTGTTTCCGAAATTTAATCTGACATTTCAAGCTTTAATGTCGCTATTTCGTAAATTGGAATTAAAATAATGGTTGTCGAATAAGGGTGGTTTTGTCCCAGTCCTTAGTGACAATCGTAAAAGAACATTCGTGTCAATTAAAGGACCTTTCAAAGAATCGCGCCCTTTTTTTACAAATGGTGAGAAAATTGACACAGTTCGAAAGAAGGGAATGCATTTCATCACCTCTCATCATGACATCAAGTCAAGCAGAAAAAGAAATATACGACTTTTTTTTACGAGTCAAGTAAATAAAAAAAAGTTTAAAAAAACTAGATTTCATACATTTCAAAGGAATAAGGAAGTGAATTGATTGAATTGAATAGCATTCATCCCACAAACTTATGAAAAGGGTCTGGAACTATTTTAAGCAGCAAGTGGCGTGAAGTTTCTCTAATGCTATATGCATCGTATACGAATTGGTTTACCAAACCGGAAGTAATTTGAATATGAAATTGTTTTTGCCACATATTTTCATAATGTGCTTTCAGAAAAACGTTTTTGAATCTATTTTTGCTTAGAAAAATAATAAAGCCAGCTTACCACACGCAAACTGCAAATAACAGCTTATAACTCGCTAAACTAAGGTTAACTAATGACTTTCCTGATAGTGCAATGGGACACCTGCAATTGACGTAGTGGGGTATCTCGATCCTGATTGGCTGTTGAAATGTAGCATTTGTTTATGTTAACAACTGTTCTTTCCATTCTATTTCCAGTAAGCCAAGCCCTGCAAGGATCAATTCTCTTTAATGATATTTTCTATGTTCTTATACAATGATTCTTTATCAAAGATTTCAATTCTTTCACTACATATTTACACAGAGACTTAACACAAAGACAGGCAGGAAGCCATGTTGAACATAAACAAAGTAATTATGCATCGAAGTTGCCAGATACACAAAACAAAAATATATCATGGTTACAATAAAATACATAAACAAATAGGAACAACAATAACAACAATATAAACAATAGGGGTTAAATAAAAGACGTAAACGAGAGAGTTATATTTCAATAAATTCTATGTGTGATACGGGTTGTGTTTAATTACCTTTCACGTTAATTAACATTCTAACTTATGTGAAGAAACTTAGCTCAAATTAAACACTCCATTTTGCTTATAAACAATCAGTTGGCGCTGACCTCACATGTGTGGGTATCTGGCATTCATTCATTAAGCTTAAATCTAAAACACAAATTAAAATGGACTGGCATCATCACAAACCGAAATCAGGAACATTAATCAGAGAAATTTTACCAGATGTCTCCTTGAAACCTTTAGAATGGAATAGGCAGCTCTTCTTTATAGAGCATGGCCCCTTTAAAGCGTA